TCTGGCAATTGTATGCTATTTAGGATTAACACACAAAAATTAATATAAAAAGAGGAGTAAGGCAAGGGTGGGTACTCTCGCCTCTATTCTTTAACTTGTGGAAATATTTAAGGAAGCTATAATGGAGACATCGGAAGGTAATATTGTAAATATTGTAACTGTAAACAATAATAAATAAGCTGACGATACCTTAGTGTTGACTAATTACATGGAGACCTTCAAAATCGAATACACGAAATATACCAGACCTGTAATATTCTTATTCTTTTTTTTTCAGCTTTAAGTAATCCAACTTAGAACAAAGGCTCCCCCAAATCAATCCAGTGTCTTCTATTTTGCGCCACTTGCTTCCAGTTGTGATCTCCGATCTTCTTAATATCATTAGCCCATCTTATTTGTGGTCTTCCTTTGCTTTTATTTCCTTACCATGGTCCCCATTGTTGTATTTCGTGATTGAATCTCTTATCCTTCAGTCGGGCATTGCGTCCTACGAAGCCTCATTTTAATTTGGCAGCATGTTCTCCTGCGTCTTTTACTTTCGTTTTGCTTCTAATCCATTTGTTTGTTTTTTTTGTCTATAAGTCTTACCCCGATCACTGATCTTTCCATCGCTCCTTGTGCTTTTACTATTTTATCCATGTTAGACTTGGTGAGTGTCCACGTCTGTGAGCCATACGTAAGTATAGGGAGGATACACTGATCATAAGTTCTGGTTTTCAAATATTGTTCTATTTTAGTGCTTTTCAAGATCCAACTCGGTTTTCCAAATCCTGCCCATGCTTATCTTATTCTTCTGGTAATTTCGGCAGTTTGATTTTCTTTGTTAACTTTCATTATCTGTCCCAGGTAGATGTATTCGCTTACTGTTTCTAAATTTATGTCGTTCAACGTTATTTCTCTAATGCTCGTTGTATTTGTTATTATTTTTGTTTTTTCGAAGTTCCTCTTAAGACCTACTTTTTCCGAAGCTTGAAATAGTTCCGTCATCATGGTCTGTAGTTCTTCAAAACTTGTAGCAAATATTACAATGTCATCAGCATATCTTAAATGACTCTGAACACGTCTTCCAGTCCAAGTGTAAATACCTTTGGTGAGATAACATCTCGCTGGCGCACTCGTCTGTTGATTGGTATTGCTTTGGTTTTCGCATCTATTTATATTTTCATTGTAGCTTTGTAGCTAGGCAGACCTGTAATCAGTTTGGATTAAAACGCAATGTTAATAAAATGAAATATTCAGTTCAAGTCAAAAGTCCGTTCCCCCTCATATCTTTTGATCGATTATACCTATAATAGTAAAATTAAGAGGAAGATAATAAACAGGCCTAAGCTTCCTAACTTCGTAATTGTGACAGATGACGTTACAGTGCCACTGTGACAGATAATTTTAAATGGGACCATGTGGCAAGTGATACCTCGTTTAAAAGGTATTGACAATACCTATTCAACCATACTAATTTTATTTAAGTTTAAGCTCATTTTGATGAATAAATGAAATAAATACTAAAATTGTAGTTTTGCATTTAAATAGTAAATATTAAAACCTTCGCCTCTGGTTACTTGTCAAAATGATTTTTAATTCTCTAATTGTTTTTACGTCAACGTCAATTTGATAATTAACCAGAGGCGAACGTTAGAATATTTAATAATTAAATGCGAAACTACAAATATTTTAATACACCTATTCAATCATACTACTTTTGTTTGGATTTAAGATAATTTTGCCGATATATTATAATTATTGACAAATAAATTAAATAAATACTAAAAGAATTCTAGTTTGACATTTATTTATTAAAAATTCTAACGTCTGCCTTTGGTGATTTATCAAAAAAGTAGACGTTTGTCAATTTTCTAGTTGTTTTCAGTTTGCAAAAGCGTTTATAGCTCAATATTTAGTTTTTGTTTCTGCTTAGTTTAATCAATTTTCTAGTTATTTTTTGTTTGCAAGCGCGTTTATCCTTTAATATATAGTTTCTGTTTCTACTTACTTTAGTTAATTCAAATTTAGTCAAGTTGTTTTTAGTTAATTTTTTTTAGTTAATATTTAACTAGAAGAGAAAAATCAAAGGAAGGAAAGAGTGGTTTGATGCAGAATGCGATCAAAATCAAATAGAAAAACCAAGTAAGAGATAAATGGATATTAACTAAAGAAGAACATCATCTAAACGAATAAAAAGAAAAAAGAGAAGCAGCGAAAAATTTTTGCAAGAACACAAAAAACTATGGATGGAAGAGCTGTTAAAGGACCTAGAAAAGAATAGTAAAGACAGCGCCAAACTATTTAGATACTTAAAAGCTCAACAAAGAAAAGGCAGACCAATAGATCATGGGAAACACACTTCACAGAACTAAATAGATGCAAACAAAACTCGGAGGAGAAAGTAGGCATAATGGAAGATATTAGAGATAATGAAATAGGGATATCAACATATGATGAATATTTAGACATCATTCAAAAAATGAAACATAAAAGAACACCTGGCCCAGATGAAATTCCCAATAAGCTAATTAAAAACGGAGGAGAAAAGTTACTAATAAACATCTATAACCTAATAGTTAAAATATGGGAAGCAGAAGAAATGCCTGATGATTGAAAAGAAGGCAGAATTACACCAATATTTAAGAAAAAAGAAGTAATAAACTGTAACAACTATAGAGCAATATCTCTAATGAGCATAACATATAAAATTCTAACAGCAAACTCTTCAAACAAAAACTCACTAAATTTAGAGAAAAAAAATTGGGGACTACAGCAAGGATCAGAGAAGGCAGATCCACTACAGATGCGATCCATATAGTTACACAATCAAAAAATACCACGAATACAAGATAGAAACTCCACATCCTCTTCGTAGACTTCAGACAAGCCTTTGACTGTATTGGAAGAAATAAATTATTTATTGAAATAAAAAAATCAAGATATACCAGCAAAATTAATCAGATTAACAAAAATTGCCATGGAAGGAGCTCGAGCTAAAGTAACAACAGAAGAAGGTAGCACAAAATCAATTGCAATAGAAACAGGAGTGCGTCTAGGGATTTCCTATGCAACAAATAGTTGCATACGCAGATGATTTAGTTCTTATGGGAAGATTAAAAGAAGCAGTAACAATCCTGGCAAAAGAAGCACGAAAAAGAGGTCTAGAAATTAACGAAGGAAAAATAAAATATCTACTATGCTATAGAAGAGAAGATAACATGACGAGAGAAATCAAAATAGAAAACTACACTTTTGAAAGATTCCAACAATTTAAAATATTTGGGAGTAATAGGGAATGACCAAAACAAGAGAAGTGAAGAAGTAACGGAACGAATACTAGCAGGCAACAAAACATACTGGAGATATCATAGGCTTATGAAGAACAAGAACTTATCCAGAAATACAAAACTGAAAATATACAGAGTTGCAATCAGACCAGTAGTTACGTACGCAGTTGAGACAATGTGCCCCACGGAAAAAGATGAAGAAAAATTGAGAATTTTCGAAAGGAAAATCCTCAAACGGATTATGAGCCCGATAAGAATGGACAACGGAGAAATGAGGAGAAGAATGAACCATGAACTAAGAGACATAATGAAGTGAGAAGATATAGTTAGATTTATTAAATCACAGAGACTGAGATGGCTGGGATACATAGAGACAAGGAAAACGACCTACTGATTAAGAAGATCACCAGATGGAAACCAGCAACTGAAAGACTAAGGGGAAGACCTAGAGAGAGATGGGAGGTCCAGGTCATGAGAGATATCCAAATTCTGGAAGTAAGAAATAAAAGGAAACTATGCACATATCGAAATGAGTGGAAGAAAATTGTAACGAAAGCCGTGATACAACAAATTTTGACAACATACAAGTGGAATGCGAAGTGATTCACCGCAATAAGCTAATCAGAGAGCTCTAAGTAAGTGAATGAAAAGCTCCGAGGATGATGATGATATACATATATATATATATATATATATATATATATATATATATATTATATATATATATATATATTGGCAGCAGCTTTAAATAATGATGTAGTCGATTTTAGACTTTTGTAGTCCTGATTGTAGCCCTGAAAAGATTTATATATATAGTAAACTCTTAAATATTGGGGAAATCTGCAGATTTCCATATTTAAGAGTTTATAAGAGTTTACTATTTAACTTATCTGCAAAGATTAAATTTCTTTTCTATATATATATATATATATATATATATATATATATATATATATATATATATATATATATATATATTATATATAATATATATAAAAATCTTTTCAGGGCTACAATATTGAGGGCAAATGAGGCCATGCTGCTTAAACGCTTGGAAGCCTTTGAGATTAAGATACACAGATGAGTACAAAAATCTAAAATCGACTACATCATTATTTAAAGCTTCTGTCAATATAGTCACGATAGCGAATGCGGTAACCAACATAATAGAAATCCAACGATCGATAACGGACATGGAACAAGAAGAAGAAGAAGAAGAAGAAATCGACTGAGTGCGACTATCAGACGCCATGTATAATACTATATAAAAGAACAAAGATAATGTAAACCAGCAGATATCATATATTATAACTATATATTACTAGAATGGCAGAAAAGTAAATGGTTAGAATGGCCCGAGATAAGTCACCGAGATAATGATAATATTCCAATAGAATACGAGGCAATATGGAAGATATGCAGGCGATATACCTAGACAGAAATCGAAGAAGAATAAGAACAGCTTAGTTTTTACGTACTTTCATTACTTGGTCTATTTTTAAAACATTGAATCCTGTATATAAATTATTACACATTTTAGGAAAAACGAATATTTAAAAAGAGTTATCAATTGGCCAATTCGTGACCCATGAAATACATGCCACCATTTACGCAAATAAAAATTATAATTTATTCATAAATTTAAATGCGCAGAATTCATTATCCTAAAACTACCATTTCAGGTCTAATAAAATAAATATCTAACATAAATCAAGTATCAATAGTGTTGTTTAGAGAGACACGTCTAAATTTGATGATAAAAAATGATAAAATTGTATCACCTATTTAAACCTCATCATCGAGTTATACCTATGTATACGTGAATTTTGTTATTTAGGTATATAGTGGTAGTTATATATAACTATAAACAAAACAGTGGTAGTTCCCCAACAACTTTTGATACAAATACGAACCTCTGCTGAACGGTGCCGTTATTTGAGTAAATTAACCATGAAGCGGAGCTGGATCATTGTGATATGTTATGTGGTTCTTGGTGCCGCATCATGTGCTCCAACAAATTTTACAAGTAAGTGGCATAGATTTTTCTAGAGAAATAATTATATCTGTTAATATTTATTGGATTGAATAAATTAAATATTGCATGTGGTAAATAAAACATGCTTGTAATTATTTTTAATTTTTTTTATGGAACCTGATTCTGCAAAGTAATTAATGGATTAATAGATATTAATTAAGCGTTTATTTATTTAATTTGGGTAAATGTTTACAAATTGCTACTCTAATTGATTAACTTTTAGATTAATGAAACAACTAAAATCGCTTGTATTATTTTATACACAATAAATATTAATGAATAAACTGTAGGTTTATATATATACCTACCATTTTTGTTGTGAACATTCTCTTTTTTTTGGTCTCTACTTTAATTTACTTGTCTATCTTGACGTAATGTCTATCTTGACGTTTCGGTTTCAACATAGTTCCCAAAATACAAATTAAAACAATTTTAGTAAGAAATTTGGTATACATTTTAAAGTAAGTGACTTAAAAATGATATTGTCAATATCTTTGAGCTGTGTTTCTGTGACGACTTTATTGCAAGATAGTCCAATCGACTGTATGAAATCACCGTTAACTTAAGAATCTATCTATCTATTTATACAGCCCTTGCTGTCCAATTTTGAACATAGGCCTCCTCTTCCTTCTTTCACGTCTGTCTATTGTAGGCAGTTTGTCCACTTCGGGCCTGCGTGTTTCTTCAAGTCATCTGGTCATCTCATTTGTGGCCTTTCTCTTTTTCGTTTGTAACTATATGGTCTCCAGTGTATAATCATCTTATTATATCTGTCGTCTTTCTGTCTTATGGTATCTCCAGCGAACTTTCACTTAAGTTTTGCTATCCACGTCGATACATTAGTCACTTTTGTTTTGTTACGGATTACGGATACCAAGTATTTCTTTTCTTGTCAATAGCCTGATGTTCATCATTTGTCTTTCCATGGCTCTTTGGGTCTATGCTATTTTTTCCATGTTTTCCTTTGTAAACGTCCAAATTTGAGAACCGTAGGTGAGAACAAGAAGTATACATTGGTTGAAGACTCTTGTTTTTAAATATTGGGGGTATTTTCTATTTTTTAGTATATAGGAATGTTTTCTAAAGGATACCCAAGCCAACCGTATCATTTTCTGTATTTCTCCGGTCTGATTTTCTTTATTTAATGTAACTAGTTGTCCTAAACATACATATTCTTTTCTCACACAATCTCTATAATAATAATCTCACACATATCTCTAATTCATTGGATCAAATCTATCTCCTCAAGAACTTCCCGTTTACTGTCAAACAACTGCAGTGATAGAATTGAGTTCTCTATTCAACAATATAAAGTAGTTTCAACCATGTTCTACCATCCATCTATTAATATAGTACCGGCATCATTTGTTTAACTTTGTATCGAGACCTGAGGATGCTTTGCATATTGTAGAAAGCGAAACCGGTCGTCTGATAGTTAAATTAAAGTGATTGTGAGTAAGTCTTATTTATTATTTCTTTACCTATTTGAAATGGACTCACACAAGCAACACATTCATGATATTAATATCAAACTCTAATTTTATCTGTATTTACTTATTTAAAAACATAAACGATGTATCCTCGATATGTTATTGGTTTACTAGTAGTGATATGTTCCTTCTATTGATTTTCTCTTTTAATTTTGGTAACCAGATTCATATTCCATATTTTGTCGAGGTTTTGTTTAACATAATAAGAACACCTTCTTTAATTTTCCTCTTTTTACCATCTATTTCTTTCAGCCCTATACATGAATCTTTCCAGTTAAATTTGTTCATTTTTTTCGTACCTTTACATAGTCGAGATATATTAAATTATCTATTTTTGAGGTAAGATTAATGTTCACAAGATATTTTATAAATACAATTCTTTTTTCTTTCTTTTTCATTGTCAGGTTTGGTTTTAGATTAAATAGATCTTAACCTGTTTGCTGTTTTCAATGTTGTTAAATTTATTCCAGTTTGGTTCTATTATTTTTAAAGCTTTCTCCAAAGTCACATTGGTGAAGAGGCTGGTAATATCAAAACTTAGTAGCATAATGTTAGCATTGTAATATATTTCCACTAGTTTTCCAGAAAATGTAAATTTTTAATTTTGTTGTGATATGTGTTAAAGGTTATATTATGTCTAGGAGAAACTTTGACAGTTTGTTGCAAGAATAACACATGATGCTGAATATTGGTCTGAAGTATTCTTTATGTATTTTTATGTTGTCTTGTTGTAGTGGGTTGTTAATGTTCTTCTTTGCTAGTCTATTCCTTAAATTTGTGTTTTGTATATTCTGTTATTCATTGATTTGGTTGAATCCTCTTTTAGTTTTGTATAAACTAATTTGTGAGAAATTATTGAATTTTAAACTAATCAGATTTTCCAAATTAACAGTATGATGATTGTATGACAATGATTTCTACATAGCTGTCTTCATGGTTCACTGGATAAATATTAGATTATTATAGTCTAGTTTCTTAAATTACTTTTCTGACTTAAAATATTTTTTACTGTATTTTTTTTATTAAAATGATTGGTAAAATACCACATCAATCATGAAGGGTTATTGGTGTTTGGTTTAGAAGCTGTAAAGAATTGTGGTTTTTGGTGGCTGATAATTTTTACAAAATTAATTTGGTTTATAAGCAGCTAAATTTAACAAGAATGTAGTTAATAATAATTTTTATGGGTCAATTGTTCTTAAAAACTTAATAATTTTCTCAATATTTTCACCCACTACTGGAAACTACTGGAAACGCCTGTTTACAAAATGAACTAGTGTCTTGTCTCTAAATTTGAAACATTGAAGAAATAGTGTATAACAATATGTTATAACGGTGTCGCAAATAAAACAGGTTCTGGAAAGTTTTTTCTTATTATTCCTTTATGTGTTAATCTAGTTTCTATTTTCAAACGATGCAGAATTAACTGGTCCCAATGTTTTAGTTATTATTCATTTTTTTTATTTACAATTACTCTCACATCAACGTCTTAATGTGTTAAAACTAATTTGCGCCTACACAGCTCCTCTGCATACTTATATCTGTGTTGTGTATATATGTTTATCCTACAGTTTAATGTCGATTTTGACCGGCTTAAGCGAGCTGCACTAGATAGATTACCACTTCGTACCTTGTCACGTTGTCGGCTATTTTGAATCGGTGACCTAATTCTTTATATAGATATGCGGGATATACAGTTTAACGTCGACTCTCAACGATTTATAGGAGCTGTGTTAGACGAATTATGACTTTCTAGTTTTTTAGCACCTTCAAAGCAGTCGCCTAGATCTTCTTCTTTTTATAATGTCTAAAACTGCTGCTTATTGTCTGGCTAATTGGTCTTTACCAAAGCCATCTAATTAAAAAAACCTGTTGCCTAAAAAGTCTGGTGTTGGTAAAATTAAACCATTTTCGTAGGTTATGAAGCTAGGATATCCTTCTTCCTGGACTTCTTTTTTCATGCATATTACCTTAAGCAATGCTTCAGTTAAGGTCCATGACTTCACTCCATTCAGAAAAACGGAAAATACGTAGCATTTTCACCAGTTATATATGGTGACTGTTAAAAAGTTTTTTCATTTTGACGAAAGCTGATCTTGCCTTTTAGGACCTTTTCCTAATTTCCGTCTAGTATTCCCACTGTGCGTGCAAATTGTGTGATATATATAGGCAATATCGTGAACTAGATAATAATTTTTAATTTTGTCGTAGGAATAGAATTCACATCAATCAGCGCGATGATCAGATACACTGATCTCTAAGCTAGCCAGGCCGTCAACTACTCATGGTTATTAGCGATACGTCAATTTTTATAATTTGTGAAGTAGATTATAGATAGATATGTTTCTTTTAGAAAATTTACAACGATTGTATTATAGTTCTCATTTAATAATGTTTTAAGTTTTCAGAAAGTGTAGATAGTACTGAATTTTGCTTGAATACATTTTAAACAATTTTACATTTATGTCACCTCGAGAGTTCTATTACATCTACCACATTCTGGTTGATTCTTCTTATCAAATAAATATAAGTGTGTAATTCATATATGATCTTGCATTAAACTAAAGCTATCAATTATAATCAGAACGTTTAGGTTATGTTACTGTACATAAAGGGCGATCCAGAGAAGTGGTCATGGAAGCCATGGGCCATGGGCCATGCCCTACACCCCCAAAAAAATAAAAAAATTGTACTAGACAGTAATTTGACCAATATTATTCGCCTTTTATTTATGCTATTCTAATTTGATAAACTAGACTACATTTGTGGTATAATAAAATTATAAAATAAAATAAATTACCGAAAAAATGGAGAACGAGCGAACTAATTATAGTATTTAAAAAAGGAGATAAAAAACAGCCAGAAAACTACAAAGGTATAAACTTAATTACTGAGAAATCACTAGAGCATAATAGACCAGCATTTTTGTGTCTGACTGACCTAAAGAAAGCGTTTAACAGAGTAAGACTCAAAGATGTAATCCATCTTCAGTATAATAGAGAAGTTCTTCTAAATATTACAAAAACTATGGAAAACACCTACCAAAACAACAAAATGGAAGTCAGAAGAGATGAACAAATTACAGAACCCATAGAAATAGGCAGCGAAATAAGACAAGGTGATTCATTGAGTCCCACGCTCTTCAATTTAATCATGGATGAAATCACCAAAAGCGTTAACAAAAGAAGAGGATACAGAATGGGAAACAAAGAAACAAAAATACTTTGTTACGCAGACAATGCACTATTATAGTGCATATAATAACCTCATAAGCAGAATGGAAAAGATCGGTGTCGTCAAAATAGCAAGAGCCACCAAGTGTCACCAATCGGCAGCAGAAGTATCGGACGTCCGCGCAAAAGATGAAGTGACAACCTTCCATAGAGATATTAATTCGCCAATGAACAAGCAGAATTGCTTATAAAGAGGAAGAAGCAGAAGAAACTACATTTCTTTATTTGCACTTGTTGGACTTCATGGGGTTTTAGGTTTAAATTTGAT